TGCTTGAAATTGATCTGTTTAAGTTTTCTATATCCTCTTAGTTCAATGGGTAGGACATATATCTCTAGGAATTTGTCAGTATCTTCAAGATTTTCTAGCTTACTGCAGTATACATTTTCAAAATAATTTCTGATAATCCTCTGTATTTCAGTAGTGTCTGTGGTAATATTTCCTTTTGCATCTCAGATTTTTATAATTTGAGTTTTTCTCATATTTTAATAGTTTATCTAAGGGTTTATCAGATTTGTTTATTCTTTCAAAAACCCAATTCTTTGTTTCTTTGATTTTTTATATCAATTTCAATGATTTTTGATTCTAATTATTTCCTGTCCTCTACTGATTTTGGTATTTTGTTCTTCTTTTTCTAGGACCTTGACATGTAATGTTAGATTATTTACTTGGTATCTTTCTCTTCTTTTAAGGTATGAGAGCAATGCTATGAACATTCCTCTTAGAACTGTCTTCATATTGTCCCAGAGACTTTGATAGGTTATATCACTATTCTCATTTACATCTAAGAATTTTTTAGAATTTTTCCTCTGATTTTCTCTGCTATTCATTCATCATTCAAATGTATTTTATTTAATCTCCAGATGTTAGTTTCTCTTTTTGTGTCCCATAATTCTTTTCTAATTTCATTCCATTATGATCTGATAGAATACAGAGTATTTTCATTATTTTTTTGTATTTGCTAAGATTTGCTTTGTTACGTAAAATATTATCTATTTTAGATAATGTTCCATGTGCTACTAAGAAAATAATATATTCAGTCATTAATGGGTGAAGTGTTATATGGATGTATGTTAGGTCCATATTACTAATTATATTATTTAGTTGTGTAGAATCTTAGTTTTTGTTTGGACGAATTATCCAGTGGTGGTAAGAGAGGTGTATTAACGTCACCCAATGTTATTGTTTGGTGATATATTTGATTGTCTTTTTTTTTTTTTTTTTTTTTTGGTACCAGGGATTGAACTCAGGGGCACTCAACCACTGAGCCACATCCCCAGCCCTATTTTGAATTTTATTTAGAGACAGGGTCTCACTGAGTTACTTAATACCTCACTTTTTTCTGAGGCTGGCTGTGAACTTGTGATCCTCCTGTCTCAGCCTCCCAAGCTGCTGGGGATTACATGCATGCGCCACCATGCCCAGCCTATTTGATTCTTAATATCGAGAGGGGTTTGTTTGATGTATATAGATGCTCCATTGTTTTGGCATAAATATTTACCATCCTTATATCTTGTTAATATATGATTCCTTAAGTAGTGTGAAGTGATTTTCTTTGTCTCTTTGGTTAATCTTGGGTAGAAGTCTACTTTATTTGATATGAGAATAGCAAGCCCTGCTTGTATATGAATCCCATATGAATGGTATTTTTTTCCCCGTCCTGTTACTTTCAGTCTGTGGCTATCTTTGCCTGTGAGGTGAATCTCTTGCAGACAGTATAATTTTGGGTCTTGTTTTTTAATCCAGTTTGCCAACCTATGTCTTTTGATTGAGTTTAGACCATCTACATTCAATGTTATTATTTGAGAGGTGAGTTTTATTTCCTGCTGTTTTGATTTTTTTTTCCTAATGTTTAAATTTGAGTTCATTTTCCTTTAATTGACTATTTTAATATTATTCCTTCCTATGCTAGTTTTCATTTCTTTTTCATGAAATATTTTATTTAATATTTTACATAGTGCAGACTTTCTAGTTATGAATTTCTTTAATTTTTGCTTATCATGGAAGGTTTTTATTTCCTCTTGACTTCTGAAGCTTAATTTTTCTGGGCATAGTATTCTTGGTTGGCATCCATTTTCTTTTAGAGCTTGGTTCATATTATTCCAAACCTTCCTAGCTTTTAGGTTCTGGGTTGAGAAATAGTTGAAGTCTGTATTGATTTATCTCTGAATGTGACTAGTTATTTTTCTCTTATAGCTTTTTAAAATTCTGTCATTGTGTATGTGAGATGTTTTCATAATGATGTGTCTTAGAGTGAATCTATTGTGATTTTTGTATATTTGTAGTTCTATATACCTCTTATATTTGAATTTCCATCTCATTCTTAATATTTGGAAATTTTTTTATATTATTTCATTGAAAAGAATGTGCATTCCTATAGTTTGTATTTCAGAGCCTTCATAAATCTTAAATGTGGCCTTTTAATGCTATCCAAGTTTTCCTGAATATTCTGTTCATGGTCTTTTAACGTCTTTATGGTTGGCTTTATTTTCAAGATTATGTACTTTGTCTTCAAGACCTGAAAATCTATCTTCAAAGTGGTCTCATTTATTGGGGATGTGTTTTTAATTTTTTAATGTAGCATATTGATTCTTTCATTTCAAGGATTTCCTTTTGGTTCTTTTTCAGAATCTCAATCTTTTATTGAAGTGATCTTTCACTTCCTCTTTTTTCTCTGATTTCACTCCTTACATCTTCTTTTAGCTCTTAGAATAGTTTAACTATGGACTTTCTGAAGTCTTTCTCTGACTTTTCCTCCACTGTGGTGTCATTGAAGTCTGTTGTTGAAGCATTAATGTGTCGTTTGGGATGGTTTGTTCCCTTGTTTTTTCATATTGTTTGTGTACCCATCTATTAGTATAGTTCTGACTTCTTTTAGGCAAAGGACTACTTTGTGAGCTTCTTTCTCTTCAGACCCCTGGGTTGGATGATTTTTTAAGTCACTGTGTGATCTGTGCTGATTCTAATATCAGCACCATTTTAAGACATGTCACTGAGCTCTATTTACTATAGTGACTTCAGAGTCAATCCTTGTATTATTCAACCTTACAAGAAACAAAAACTTGTTGCAGTTGTTCTCTGCAGTTCCTCAAATTCAACCATAAACCTGTAATTATGTTCCAAAATAGGTAAAAAAAAAAATTATTTGTTGAATTTAGTAAACTTACTATAACCTTAAGTGAGGGTTAAAAGTGGGTTGGAAGAAAAATTGGGCAAAAAGGAGAGGAAAAAGACAGAGGGGGAGAGAGAGGAGATAAAAGACTAACCTACACCAAGGTAGAAAATATTGGTGTTTGAGGTAGTAGCAGATAATGCAAGAATATGAGTAGGGGGTGAAAAAGCAAGTATAAATCAGAGGTAGGAAAACAAAGATAGGAAGATTGGTTTCATTTAATGCTTTAAACCATTAGATCAAATACACTCAAATGGGTTGAAGGTACAGTGTTGGTTATTGGTTTAACAATTGTCATTCAAGTTAGAGTTTTTTATATGATCAAAGTTGATATTAGAGTTGTTTATAGTAAACCATGTCAAGGTGAGGAAGATTCTTGTTGAATTTTGGGTTGCATTTCATTGGGGTTTGGACATTAAGCAGATGTCCAGCAGTCTTTGGCTGTGGATCTCTTCTGAGTTGCAGGGGCACAGGAGCCAATTCCTTAGTTGCTGGTAACCTCCTACTAGCATCTTCTGGTTTGCCAGCTCAGGGGCCTGCATCTGACTGCTCAGAGGGCGCAGTGTTTGGGTTGGTTGTTTCTATTGTGTGCAGTAGTTCAGGATGAAGGCTCTGGAGTGCCCTTGTGTTTGCTTTGGGTTACCATGTACCTGCTCCCCTCTACAGGATCCTTTTCACGATAGTGAAGATCTGTGAGCACAGGAACTCTGGTAGTGAATTTTCTGTTGTGTAGTGTTCTGGCCATTGACACTCTCTGAGGTACTGTAGTGAAGGGTCTCAGGTGATTCACCTAGTCTAGTTTCTACTGCCCCATGTTGTGAATGACTAGGTTGATCACAGGTCGCTGTGTGCCAATTAAGGCTGGGAGCAGCCCTTTCCTGGTGCATAGACTGTGTTAATTTTCCACGGGATGTCTGACTGGACATTCAGACACCTTCCCTCCGGTAAGGCCTATGTTCCTAGAGATCATCTCTAGCCTTCTCACTGTGCCTCCCACTAGTTTTAGTGGTCTAGGCTAATGAATCTGATTTCCTCTATTTGGTGCCAAAAATGCTTTGTTGCTGTCTCTGAGTCAAGCAAGGGAATGCTGAGCAATTCTTTATGCTCTTGCCTGGGTCATGGAGTTTGAGCAGGGTTAGGTGCAGTTCCCAGCACAGATCTCCACCAACACGTTCCCCTTGTTCATGTTGAGGTAGAGCGAGCAGGGGATTCTAACAATTTTCTGCTAGTAGTGGTTCTTCTAGAAGTTCTTTCTGGCTGGATGCTTAATAAATCCCACTGCAGGGGGATTTAAGGGGTGACTAGTTGGCTGATGACTGCATATCCATGGCTCAGTTTTCTTTTTACAATTTGGTTTTAAGCTGTTTGCTCTGTTTTAAGGGCCTTTTTGTTACTGTTGTACTATTAATTTTGTCTGTCTTTCCAAATGTTTTAAGTGGTTGAGCTTAATTTCCACTCCCCAATCTTCTCTCTCTCTCTTTCTCTCTCTCTCTCCCCCACCCCCTTTCATTCCCAAGTTCAGTATGTTCAGAAATGTACATGGGGAATAGAATCTATACAGGATCATTATGTGTACCTGTTGTACTAAATTATTTGGTATTAATGCTGTGGGACCATGTGTTCTTTGTCTCCAGTGACTTGCACATATCCTTAATATCTGTCCAAAAACACTTCAAAATTCAGTACAAAATCTGATTGTATCATTGTCCACAATGTATTTGTTTTAAAGCTCTTAGCAAAAAATAGCATTTTAAGAATGAAGCTGGTATTGTTATACTAACATTTTTATGGATATATATCTTTTTGTGAAGAATTATATTCATTCATCAATGTGTGTATTGATGCCCACTTTCAGTGTTCAAGCCAGAAACAAAAATTTATTTTATTTAAGATCACATTTCGAGAAGATAACTTTTTAAAATTTGTTTCTGTTGTAAGTAAATTTAACATTGGTGTAATGTTTATGGTTAAGCCTTACATGTTTAGTTCATTATGTGTTTAATTAATTTTAGTTTTTATTTTAGTACTCATAGTTAAGAAAAAATAACTCTTTGAGTAATGTGTTTAACATGTTATTTTCTGTGTGTATATATGTTAGATGGAACATGATGCCCCAAAGCATATCATCCAGATGACAGGATTTAAGATGGAAGAAAAGGAAGCTCTAGGAAAATTGCTTTTAAAACTAGATTGCACGTTTATTAAGAGTGAGGTGAGTACAAAAGCTTATAAAAATATTCAAGGTGTAGTTGAAAAATAGAATTAAAATACTGACTTAAACATGAAATATTGCCCCTTGATATTGTAAGAATAGAAAGTTGTGTTATTAAGGAAATCTTAGTTTAGTAATATTTCTTCATGTGAATTTTTCCCTCTAGAAATACAAAAATTGTACGCATCTTATAGCTGAACGCCTGTGTAAGAGTGAAAAATTTTTAGCAGCTTGTGCAGCAGGTAAGTAAACTGCCTTTCTCTGAACCTTAAAAAATCCTCGTGTTAAAGAAAAGATAGCATGTTTATTATATCAGATAAAAATGTGGTTTTTCCCCTGATATTTTTCTTAAATTATTTCTTTGATATAACTTCTACTTTATTATTCTTCTGAGTAAAACTTTGTAATACATGAAAATATGTTAATTGGGTGGAAATATTTACTTCACCAAAGATTTAGGTGTTTTATTTAGAAAAAAATTGTTTAATAAAAAGATTGGCACCAAATGCCAAAACTTAAGCTTTTGTTGAGACCTCAGCTTTTCTTTGATCTGTCATTGGAAATAATCAGCATTTTTGTTCTCCTTCTGCTTCCTCTCCTATCCATTCTATGAAGCAATAGTGATTCTATTTTATTTCCCTAAAATACCAAATTCAGTAAACCCAAATTAGACCTTAATCTTTCTTTCTCCCCCTTTGTCGCCACTGATAATCCTTAAGGCTGTCTCTACTGTGAGTGATTTGGAATATCATTAATCTACTGATTGAATCACCCCCAAAACAGATAGATGTATGTGACTCCAGTGAATTTATTATTTTTTAGATTAACATACCAGAGGATTGATTCATTATTCTTGGATTCATTATTAGGTCCATAAATAAAAGCATACATTTTCCCTGCAGTTTAAAAGATCATTGATGCCCAGATATAGAAACTACAGAATGATATTAAATGCCAGAGAAAATTACCTAACAATAAATTTGTTTGGCAAAGTGTAACAGTACTGTGAACATTATTGGAGAGACTTTTAGCATAGGAGAAACAATATATATATCAGCCCAAAAGTGAATGATATCAGTAATAATAATTCAAATAATATCACATATTTTTTATTTTAAAGCTTTAGATGTATGCTTCATTAGTAATATTTAAAATTATAATTATTTGTCACTGAAGACATTACATACAATGTTCAGTGATGTTATCGGCTTCACTCTCAAAAATTTAGAAAAACATAGTTCAAAGATTATGTTGGCAGTATAGCCTAAGAATCTCATGTTGACAAAGATTGACTTATTTGAAATTTGATCTTTATTTGAACCAAAATTTCTCTGTGATGAACAGTTCATTTCCTTTCTAGGAAAGTGGGTACTGACTAAAGACTACATAATTCATAGTGCCAAAAGTGGCAGATGGCTTGATGAAACAACTTATGAATGGGGATATAAAATTGAAAAAGACTCCCATTATTCACCTCAAATGCAATCTGCACCTAAAAGATGGCGTGAAGAACTGAAACGCACTGGTGCTCCAGGAGCCTTCCACAGATGGAAAGTTGTCCTTCTTGTTAGAGCCGATAAACGAAGTGATTCTCTTGTAAGGTAGGATCTCATAAAAGCTAAAGCAATGAATAAGAAAACAATTTTGGCATGAATACCTTATTGTATTTTTGCAGTTATCAGTTCAGTCAAAATGTGAGCTGTGATTATTTTCTTTTTGATCCCCTAGGTAAGCCATTCTGCATGTTTAAGTATATGTCTCTAATAAAACAAAATCTATTTGATCTCCTTTATTTTCCATGTTATTTCTTTTGGCCAAGTTTGAACCTCTTAAATTTTTGCTAGTAAAGTATTATGTTATCAGAACCCTTTTTTAGGTTTATGTAGTATTATCTTTATGGTTCTTAGTGTTTTCATAGTTTAATTTCATTTTGCCTTTTATATATTTTTTGGAAGCCTTTCAGTTGTTTAAAAAGTATTACAAGTCTGCTACTATTCTTTTTTAAGAGGGGATCGTTTTATTGTCTTTAGTGAAATGTAATTTATGGATAATGATTATGGATATGGGTAATGCACCCATATTGAGTGTACACTTTAATAAGTTTGGATAGGAATTCACCTATATTACCCTCACTGTATCAAGATCTGTAACATTTACACTCATAATGTTCTTTTGTGACCTTATACATTTAATTCTGGACCACAAATACTGGGCAATCACTGGTTTCCTTCTTATAGTTACAGATTAGATTTGTCTTTTTTTTTAGAGGTTCATATATTTGGGATGATACTGAATACGCACTTTGTTTTAGCTTCATGTGCTTAGTACTCTATTTTTGAAATTATGTTGCATGTATCACCATTCACTCTTGTTGCTGTTTAGTATTCTACTCTATTGCTGTATTAAAGTCTGTTTGTTCACTCGCCTATTAATGGGCACTTGGGACATTTTATTATTTTTATTAATATGAATAAAGCTCCTTTTTAGTGATTATGATAATGTGGTGTTGTTAGAAAGATCAACAAATGAATCAGTGGGACAGGAACAGAACCATACATAAGGATACTTGAATTATGACAAAATGTCATAATTGTGCTGAAGAGAATTGTCTTATCCAAGGTTATGCCCCAAACCTGAGGGCAGTGGGCATCTAATGACTGACTCATGTTGGGATATAAAGGAACCTCTCTCCAGCAGTAGGTATAATCGAAGGGCTACTTTGGCTCTAATGCACAGATGGAGTAAGAGAGGCTTTCCTTATAATTATATGACAGTTCAGTTGATTCCTCTGCCCATGGCTACTTCATCCCCTTCCCCTCCACAGCTGTTTTTCTGACAGAACAAAACAAAACAAACCAAGCTGCTTTGACCATTTGAGTATGAGTATTCATATAGGCATGTTTTCATTTCTCTTAGGAAATACCTGAGAATGAAATTGCTAGCTCAGATGACAATTGCATGTTTAACGTTATAAGAAAATGGCAAACTGTTTTCCAAAGTAGTTGTACCATTTTACATTCCCAATTGCAGTGGAAGAGAGTTTAGTTGCTCTGCATTTACTTTGGCACTGTGGTCAAAAATCAATTGACCATAGATGTATGGTCTATTTCTGGACTTGCTATTCTGTTACACTGACCTGTATGTCTAACATATACCATCATCATACTGTTTTGATTACTATTGCTTATAGTAAATCTTCAAATGAAATAGTAAAAATCCTTCAACTGTGTCTTTTAAAAAACTGTTGTGGTGATTCTGGATTCTTTGAATTTTCATATATTTTTAGAATCAGCTTGTAAGTTTCTGTGAAAAAAGCAAGCTAGGATTGTATTTTACCTACAGTGTTCATACTGGGAGAACTGTGTTCTTAGAAATATTGAGTCTTCTTATTAGTAGACTCTCTCTCCTAGTGTTCTTTGGTTTCTGTCATTAATGTTTTATAGATTCATTTTATTAATCTTGTACATATTCTGTTGAATTTATTCCTAGGATCTTTCTGTTTTGGGAAGCCATGTAAATGAATTTCTTTGAAAGTTTTATCTGCATCTATTGAGATAATTCACTTTTATCTTTAAGTTTGTTAATATGGTGAATAATACTGATTGAATTTCAAATGTTAAACTTACATTCTTGAAATAAACTGTATTTCACTGTGGTGGATTATGCCTTTTTAATATATTGCTGATTCACCATTTCTATTTAGCAATTTACTAGATGTGCTAGTAAGCCAGTGTAATAAGTACAACAAACAAACAAACAAAAAAGACATTAAGATTTTTATCAAAGATACTTAAATTAGTGAATTTAGGAAGATCACAAGATAACATCATTATATAAAAATTATTTTCTTACATATTAGCAAAAAAAATTGGAAATTAAAATTTAATTATTTTAGTTTTGTTATTTCATTGACTTCTGTAGTTGGTTTTTTTATGAAATGGCTTTGTTGAGATATAATTAACATACAATTTAGCCATTCACTGTAGTGTATAATCTAGTAGTTCTTAGTATGATCACAGAGTTTTTGAATCATCAGTACAATACAGTAAATATTAGAACATTATCATCACATTAAAGAGAAGCTTCATGATCATTGGTAGCTATTCATTTCTTATCTCTTCTGTCTGTCCCCCTGCCAATACTCTCCCACCATCTTGGTCCTGGAATTACTTATCCAGTCTGTGTGTCTATTTTGTACACTTAAAAATATATTCCTCCTATCTAACCATAATTATATATCCTTCCACTAACATCTCCCCATCCTTCTTCCATCTCCCTAACCACCCAAATATCTGGTAACCACCATTTCACTATTTCTATGATATCAGTTCTTTAGATGGCACATATGAGGGAAATCATGCAATATGTAGTATTGGTCTCTATAACTGGCTTATTTCATTTAACATAACATTCTCTAGCTCCATCCACATTGTAACAGATGACAAAATTTCATTCTTATGACTGAGCAGTGTTGCATTATGTAGGTGTTCAGCAATTGGTGAACATGTAAGTTGATTCCATATCTTGGCTATTATAAATATTGCTGTTATAAATATGGAGACACAGCTATCTCTTATACATACTGATTTCATATTCTGTGGATACATACCCATATATATGGTGAGATTGATGAATCATGTGGTAATTCTGTTTTTGATGTTTTCCATAATGGCTGTACAAATTTACATTCCCCTCAACAATGTGTAATAGCCCCCTTTTCATATACTTGCCATCACTTATTTTTTTTCCCTCCTTTTGATAAAAACAGTTCTAACAAGTGTTAAGTGATAAGTGGTTTTGATTGGCATTTCTCTGATGATTAGTGGTGTCAAACATTTTTTCCATATACATGTTGACTATTGTTTGTCTTTTGAGAAGTAACTGTTTAGGTTGTCGGCCCATTTTTTAAAAAGGGTTATTTGCTTTTTTGCTATAGTTGCTTGAATTCCTTATAAACTCTACATATTAACCACTTACCTGAAGTATAGTTTGTGAATATTTTCTTTTATACTGTTTGTTGTCTGAAATTTTAGATTGATGTTATCTTAGTTGTCTATTTTACTGTTGTTTCTTGGACTTTTGAGGTCATATCTTTTCTCAGACCAATATAAAGTCTTTCCTCTCTTTTCTTCGAGTGGTTTTGTAAACTATTCAAGCCTTAACATTTTAGTCTTTGATCTTTTTTGAGTTGATTTTGTATATGGTATGAGATAAGATTTTAATTTTATTTTTCAGTATGTAGATATCCAATTTTCCAAATACTACTTACTAAAGAGATTTTCCTTTTCCTATTGTATTTTCTTGACACTTTTGTTGAAAATCAGTTTGCTGTAAGTGCATAGACTTATTCCTGAGCTCTCTGTTGTGTTCCATTCATCTGTGTGTCTGTTTGCATGCCAGTGATACTATACCTTTGTAGTATATTTTGAAGTCAAGTAGTGTGATACAGTCTACTTTGTTCTGTTTTACTCAAGATAGCTTTGGCTGTTCAGGGTCTTTTTATGCTTCCATGTAAACATCAGGATTTTTTTTTTTTTTTTTCTTGTTTGGTGAAAAATGTCATTGTACCTTTTTTTTTTTTTTAAGTTGTCAATGGACCTTTATTTTTCTTATTTACATATGGTGCTAAGAATCAAGACCAGTGCCTCACACATGCTGGCAACATGCTCTATCACTGAACTATAACCCCAGTCCCATCATTGTATTTTGATAGGGATTTTATTGAATCTATAGATTGATTTTGGTACTATGGACATTTTAACAGTATGCCTCTAATATCTTTCCATTTATTTGTATACTCTTTAATTTCTTTCATCAGTAAATTTTATATAGTTTTTATTGGAGAGAGATTCTAACTCCTTGGTTACATTTATTTTATTTTTTATAGATTTGAAAATGAGAAAGTTTCTTAATTTCTTTTTCAGCTAGTTCATAGTAATATAGAGGACACTATTGATTTTTATGTTAAGTTTTTTATCCTGTGCAACTTTTTTGAATTTGTTGACTGATTCAGGTAGCTTTTGGATACTCATTGGGATTTTTCTGTCATGTCCTTTGCTAACAGAAATAATTTGCCTCCTTTCCAGTTTGGGTGCTTTTTTTCTTTTCTGTTGCTGAATTGCTCTGGCCAGGACTTCCAGTACCATGTTGAATAGAAGTGGTAAAAGTGGGCATACTTGTCCAGATTATAGATCATAGAAGGAAAGTTTTCAACCCTTTCCTGTAAAGTGTTAGCTGGGTTTATGTGTTATGGCCTTTTTTGTGTTAATGTGTGCACCTTCTATACATCAGTTACTTAAATTTTTTTGCATGAAGGATGTTGAATATTGTCAAATACTTTTTCTGCATCTACAGAAATGATACGATCTTTTTTTTCTGTTAATGTCATACCATGTTTATTGATTTGTATATTTTGAACCATCTTGAATTCCTGGTCGTGGTGAATGATCTTTTTAAAGTCTTGTCAAATTTAATTTGTTATTATTTTGTTGAGAATTTTTGTATTTCTGTTCCCTGAGGATACAGGTGTGGTGGTTTTCTTTTTTTCTTTTTTGGTTGTGGTGGTTGTTTTGTGTCCCTCTGATTTAGGTTTTCAGGGTAA